TTCTTCTCTCCTTAGGGAACCAGACTCTAGGGCCTTGTTTCTTGCAAGGCGACAATGTCCTAATGCCAAGCTTTTGAGCGTTCAATGTCCAGAAGTGCCGTCTTTCTTGGCATTACCAGCAGAATTGGTCCGCATTTGTGCAGTAGCCTGGACGCATGGTGCGGACATTCCAGCTTCCCAGGCGAGGGTTTTATTCTTTGACGCGGGTATACCATTTTTCGTCCACTGTTCGAAACTTTTGGTCTAGACCCCGGCTACCCTACTGAGGCAGGTTGGACGTGGCGGGGTTTGCACCTAACTGGCTAGGGGCTGCCTAGCTTTGGCGGGCACGATAGCCAACCAGTGGAACGCAAGGTTCCTCCACCGACACGCACGACCCGTGGCGAACCCGTTTCTTCGCCAATCGAAACCATGTTTTTAACCCTTGTACTGTCGACGCCGTGTTTGTTTCACCACACTGAGTTTGTGGTGCAGAGTGACCTCTCGCTGGGTGGAGAGCAACTTCTCCTGTTGGTTGTTGCATGGCCCGGTCTGGATGTAGGAGGCGCTGGGTTGCCCAAGCAATATATATATTATATATATATATATTATATATAAGGAAAGTAGTATGCCATAATTCTGAATATTATTGTGTTCTTCAACAAGGGGTCAATTTAGAAAGAAAACTCACACTTTAATTAAATTGTTCCAAACCATTTTATACTTGCAATGCTTTTCTAAACTCTCAGAAGGAAACAAAGAGCTTAAATGAGGGAGGAAGGAAGGGAAGGAAAATAGGGGGCATAAATAAGCTGAATTGCAGTTTAGAGTTGTGCTGGCAGATATTAGTTTCATCGCCACAATTTGCAACATGACGTATTTGTGTTCTTGGCACACTTCATGTGTGCACATCACTATTTTGTGATATACTTCACAAAATTTCTAGGGTCACAAGTTTCATACCATGTTTATTTCACAGTGGCATTGATATGTAAGACAGTGTAGAATGTGCACTGGTGGCAGTTATGAAATGCTAAATTGATTTTCATATTGCTTAGAATGCATATACCTTTATAAAGACATTTTGGACAATTGTACATTTTTTTATAAAATTAGAAGATTTACCGTACATTTTCCGCTCTGTACCTACTTGTGGATCGTGGATAGGCCTGTCACATTTTGTCTCAATAATGGGGAACATTTAGCACTTATACAGATCGTCACTCTAACAAACGTTAATAGCACAGTCACGTTATAGCAGGATTGTGGAATCAAATGTGTATTGATGTGTTATGAAATCTTATATAAAGTCTACATTATGTTTAAACTTAACATATGGTTTGTCTCACAGATGAGGTAAATCTAGAGGTGGCACTGAATCTAGGTCATTGTTTGACTAATTTTGGTGGCAGTGTTTTTGAAACTGTTTTTGAAGATATAATGGCTTTGATAGGTTTGAGAAACAAATGCTTGTGATAAAAGAGATTTAAGTGAAATTCAGTTGAGTAAGGAAACACAAAAGGACAAATTATTACATTTCCCTTAGTATGATTGCAATATTATGTATTGTGAATTATAATCAGATTTTTTGTCAGTGTGTACAAACTTGCTGTTTTAAGAACAGTGAAAACAGAAATGAGTAGATAGACAAGAACATATCACATAGTTGATGATATAATCTTGTAAATAGGAACATTTAAACAGAACATTTAAAGTAAGATTAAGAACATTACATTGCTATTTTCAGAAGGTATTATTTGGAATCAAATTAGAGTGAAGTGATATTAATTCCAGATATTTAGTAATTTATTCATAAAGAATTCTAGAAATTCTAGAAAATAAACAATATTAAGTTACTTCCTTGATATTAAATTACTACAGTATTTACTTGATTTTATTTTATGTAAGGTGTGTTATGTATTTCTGTTCAATTCAATAGGAAAATATAGATTGTGTAAAATTATATAACTGTTTACTGGTTGTAATTGAAATGTGGTTTATCTTAAGGAGAGTGACTTAAATTGCAAGTCTCTCTCTCTCTCTCTCTCTCTCTCTCTCTCTCTCTCTCTCTCTCTCTCTCTCTCTCTCTCTCTCTCTCTCTCTCTCTCTCTCTCTCTCTCTTTCTCTCTCTCTCTCTCTCTCTCTCTCTCTCTCTCTCTCTCTCTCTCTCTCTCGTACAATTTGTACTATTACATCTCTTTGAATATGGTTTGATTTTCTCCAGTTTCATGTGTTGTCTGAACTTAGATTTTTAAAAATATTTTCATAATGATATTTTGATAACTATACAGCAGAAATGTATCAAAATCAAAAGCATTTGTGCAGAATATTTTGTTTTATTGCCATCCCACAGGGAATAGGAAAGCTCAATAAGCTCATAATTCATTTAGACATGGATACACATAATTTGAAATAATAGTGGGGATGCAGTGATATACGTAGATTTTTTTTTGTATTTAATAAGAGAAGTTATATTCTTAACCGGTAAATTGAATACTATGATATATATCAGAAATATGGAAATGGTGAGAGGAAATTAAGAATATATAAATGTCCAAGGTGACAAACCTCAATAGTGGCGTTGATGCTAATTTACGTTAAATAGATTTTTTTTGTTTTCGTTTCATCATGATCCATGTCTTGGTATGAAAAATTCTTGTTATAAAGTAAGGTCATTTGTTCAGGATCTTATGAAATATTTCCTGTTAACCATATTTTTGTTTGATATGACAGGTTTCGTACTTCGTAGGTTAAAACAAAATCAAAAT